TTCGTCTGAAATCGCGTTGCCTGGAATATTGTAATGACCAGGAACCCAACAGAGTTTGATGGACAACCTAGTGTTTTCCAAGGATCTCCTGTATTCCAAAACAGCCATAGACTTAATGGTGGAAGAGTTTGAAGCTTTCAATGCCTCCTGGCTATCGACGTATATAGTCACCGGACCGCTAACTTCGTTCGTAGTGACTAATAGGTCTATGGCTTTTTTGACCGCAGAGGTTTACGCCTGGAACACGCTATAGTAGTTGTTAAGCTTGTAGAAATGTTCAGGAACATTAAGAGTGTCACAGAAGACACCAGCTCCCGTTCCGCATTCCGTCTTTGAACAGTCATGTGGATTTCTACGAGCCCAGGCGTACCTATCAGGTATGTGGATGTAAGGTGGGTCACAGCTCAATCGTGGTGAAATATAATCACTAGTGCTGGCTTGTACTCCCTACATTTCTTACACGCCCTAAGATCCCAGAATGTCCAAAGGATTGACTGCGTTTAGTTCTCTGGTTCGAAGAGCACATTGCCTGTTACTCTGCGTGTATGCTTAGTGGGCTTAAGTACAGTAGGGTGTCCAGGGGCTGGATTCTTGTTTAATGAAAATATGAAATGAAAAAAATTCCACTATATAAAGGTTTTCATTTCACATTTTCGTAGAACAAGAATTGAGACCCAGCACTCCTTGAGGTGTGCTCTTGAAGGCACTCGTTATTAGTAGGGAAGCGGCTCTTTGAACTTTGTCAATGTGACGTAAGTAGGATGGCTTTTTTTAAGGAATTCCAGAAGACTAGATTTCCATAGGATAGGTTTTGTAAACAATTGACTCATACATCCATTTAATTATGTGTAGTATGAGGTCCCAGCTTTTACCCATGAAGTTCTTGCAAGAATAGAGTGCTCGTTCCTCTGTGTTCCTCTTCCAACTTTGCTTGGAGGATAGTGTCGAGGTAATTGGCGGTCGTGGATAGTGACGAAGTTTTTGTGGAGAAATCTGAAATCTCAAAAAATCTGTTGTTTTGGATACCACAAGTTGACATTTCTTTTTAATGACAATCCAATGGATGCCTTTACAATAGCATCTTAAATCCTGACGTATGTGTTTACTACCTTAATATTGCACTGCCTACTATGTATATATCTAACTCTAGATTTACTTCTCGAGTGAATAGTGACCCGGATGACTACGTGGGAGATAATTTGAAATTGCAAAGTTCCTGCTACGACAAAGACGCACACAATGCCTCCTTCTTAATTATTTGGTGTAGTTAATCATCAGCTATGCTTCTGAAAGGAGAGTAATAATAATGTGAGAACGTTCGATTTATAGAGCATTCAATATTTAAGGGTATAACTACGATAGAACCAGGATCTCCATATGGTCACGCAAGTGTCATGGCGTATATGGAAGAAATTAGATATCAAACATACTAGATACTCTTTAGGAACAATTTGGAACAATTTAATTCGATGAGTTACACAAAATTATGATCGGAAAAACTAACCAAAAGCTAGCCACCACAAAAGCCTTGCTTGTATTTTCTGATTAGAACAAAATACACTGGGCCAATAATCACATCTTTTACAATATCCCCAAACGTCTTGTTAATTCAATTCTTATTTAATAATTTGTCCATTTTTCATGGCAAATATTTTACAAGATTTGCTTTGGAACCACAACAAAATAACATTTGTTTTGTTTCCCCATTGTCCGCACGTTTTTCTGTCTCTGTTCCAGAGGGCGAAGCCGATGTGAAATTCTCGGCGGCGGCGGCTAAGCATAAAAAAGTCGGCGGCGGCTAAAAGTCGACTGCAGCCGAAAGAAAATCGGCGGCGGCGGCTAAAGCAATATACGGCCGGCGGCGGCTAAAAGTCGGCTACAGACGACGACTTTAACGTGAACAAATAATTTCGGTTGTTTTAATAACTGTCAATTCATTTAATTTAAAATAAAAATGAAAATATAAGTTTATATGCACATTTGTTGCTTATAGCACATTAAAAATTAATAAAAATACTTTAATTTGATAAAAATGGTTCGACGACTGCCTTGTTATCGTGAACAAACAATTGTTTCTTTACTGTTGCCGGATGCAGGCTGCTTCTCTTTGCATTTACACAATTCCCGGCATATGAAAATGCTTGCTCTGAAGATGCTGATGTGGCTGGAATTCCAAAGCACATATTTGCTACAGTAGCAACATTTGGAAAGATCTATAAAAAGTAAATGGTCAAAACGTAACCTGCTTAAAACAAGTTTAAGATGTGAATCTTTAACGTACTTGTTTGTTCTGTCGCCACCAATCTAGAGGCTCGACCGCCTCGACTTTCATTTCCAAATATTTTCTTATTTCTAACTCTACGTTATTTTGTACATTAGAAGGCGATGGTCCCATAAATTCCAACATTCTTTGACGACTAGCTGATATTTTCTGCAAGTAAAATATACGTCAGTTAAGTTTACCTTTACATTTATTAAAACATAATACCTGTTTTTTTGCATTTGGTTCAGTGCTCGTTGATGGCTCATTTAATAATGTGTCATCGATTTCCTTTAATTTTTCAATTTCTTCCATAATCAAGTTCTCCTTGGAAATTGGAGACAGAACATCATGCACAAGTTCCAAGGAGTTTGGCGATTGTTTGGGTATCTGTAGTATATATTTATCTAAAACAGGCCAGTTTTTTTGGCATGGGTCCATAAGCGCAGCTACAACATACATTCTATATACTTTGAATCGCTTCGTGAAGTTTTGCACAGCGAAATTGCATAAATTGATTGTTAGTTCAAAAGACGCTTTTTCTTCTTCATTCTTCATTGAGGACATAATGGATTCCTGAAAATAAATACACGAAGATATCGTCGGATAATCTTGGCCTTGAAGGTGTTTTGTGGCGTCCTCAAAAATTTTTAAAAACGTGCCAAATTCCGTTATAATTTGCTTTTCCATTGTCCCAATCACTAACAGTTCCTTTTTAGCTTTAACTAATGCTACATTTATAGTGGATATATTATTCGTATAGCTTTGAATCATTGCAAGCAGAGAGTTCCAACGTGTTGCAACGGAATTTTTCAAAGAGGTGTGGTGCTTGACGTTTAAAGTTGCTTCATATTGTTCAGTAAAATAGTCATCTCCATGTGGAAATTGTTCGCAACTATCCAAACTCTCCAAAATTATTTCAACCTCTGTAAATATTTTTTCTAAATCGTTTTGTTCCTCCATATTTTGAATATTTGATATTTCTTCATAGCTATACATTAAGCTGCTATAAATTTTTTTTAATTTTGATATTATGTTATTAATATTTTCAAATGACTTGTTGTTTAGTATATCTTCCATCAAAAATCTGTGTAAAACATGAGCCATACAACCATATCTTGGTATATTTTTAATTTTTAAAGCTGAAACGATGTTGCTTCCACCATCAGTAACAGCACATATGTTTTTTTCCAACAGATTAAATTCACATAAAGCTTCTTCAATTTTTTCTACAACTGCTAGTCCAGTGTGAGGTCGTGGAAAGATCTCTGTCTTGAGCGTTACAATTTGCATTTGAAAATTTTGGCAGAAATGAACTTTTATGTTTATGTAAGACAAGTGCTTATGTTTATCTGACCACATATCCAATACAAGTGTAACATTTTTGGGCGACTCTTTAAGGCTTGTTTTTACGTGGTCCAAATATATGTTATAAACATCGTTTAAAGCCGTCGTAGCTATTGTCCTATCTGTGGGGAATATAGCCTTTGGGTTTAAGAAAGATACCAATTTCTTAAATCCTGGCCTTTCAACAATTTTAAACGGTTGCAAATCCCAACAGCACATTTCGGCGACCCGGCGAGCATTTTGTTGTTTGTTGTTACAACTTGTTGAGGATTTCAATGCATTTTGTGTCATTGTTGAACTTTTCAGGTTATTTAAAGATTTCACGTCCAAGTTATGTACAGCTCGTAGATGGTTCATATAATTTGTGGTTGATGTTGATTTTCCAAAACTAAAATCATAAACATTTACACACATGCGAATGGAAAAAATTAGAAATTCCTACCTTTTTAAATTGGTCTTTTCATCCAAACACAATTTGCAAAATTTATATTTTTGAAGTATATGCCTCTTTTTAAAATAGAGATCACCAAAATATTTCCAACACATTGATATACCACCTTCATTTACAACAACCTTTGCCAAATTTTTAAATTCATTTTTCTTTTTAAAAAGATCTTCATATTGAGATACATCTGCATATGGAGAAATATTGATTTCAGTATCAACAGATTCGTCAGAATCGGATTCTGATTTAGTCAAAACTGTTTGACCCTTTCGGTTAGCGGAAAAATAATTTTTAATATTCCTTTGGCACATTTTGCATTCTTTTCTTTGAACAAGCAAAAACACAACGAATCTTTGGCAAACAATATGGTTGCCACTCCATCAAAATTCGTAAGTTACAAAAGGTTGCCAAAGGTTTTGTGATAAAAAAAACAAATCTACAAAGTCATAATACCCTTACCACTATGTGGTGTAGGGTATAATTAATATAAATAGCCTACACGTTTTTGCCTCTCGAAGACGAGTGCACAATGTAAATTATCGTCCAATAATGAGCATTATAATATGTTAATTTATCGATAAGATTAAAAGACATATTTATACAAATTTGCTGTATAAATTTATATTTTTCAACGGCTTAGCCGACTCAGTCGGCTAAAAATTTGAGCCGATGAGAGCCGCATACATCAGCGGCGGCTCAGATCACTTAAAAAAAGTCGGCGGCGGCTGCACGCCGACTGCGAGCCGATCGGCTTCGTGCTCTGCTCTGTTCTGATATTTTAACATCAACTGCTCTGTTAAAAATGTAAACAATGTTAACGCAAACCCCTAACGAAACGCCGTTCACATACAACAACATGGGCTCTGTAGTTCTAAGGCAAAGAAGAAAAAAGAGCAACAACAAATTTGAATATAAATACAAAAACAACACATATTTATTTATATTTACCTCTGATGAATTGTCTATTGTTGTTGCTGCTGTTGTTCTAGCTCTAGTAACAGCTAATTATTGTTGTTGCTGGGTTCTGATAATTAGTTTATTGCCTGTTTTACGCAGCATTTGGGCCACACACAAAAAGAAAACAATCTGTCTCACAAAAGGGGGTGGTAAAAGGGTTGGTTGGAGTGCTCAACTACAAATGCCAATGCAAAATAGGAAAACACAAATAACAATAGTTTTCAACAAATTATTACCAATTTTTTCTCTCTTCTTGCTATTGGTGAACAACAATGCACTTTTCTCATTTAATTTCAGGGTATTTTCACAACTTTTCTGCACTTTGCTTTTCAACCAAGACCAGAAAAATGTAAACAAAAATATTATTTTTTCGATTCTTCAGCTGCTGCTCGCTCTAACTTTGGTCAATAATAATTTACACACATACGCACGAACTCATACACAAACTAAACAACACACAACACATCAAGTGTAAACCACGACCGACCGAGAAGCAATATGAGAATATTTTTTTTTCATTGGACTTTGCAAAAAATCCCAGATTCTTTTCGCGACATACCAAAACACGTGAATTGTGATGCAAAATCAGGCCCGCTTCAATTGTCACGTACACGATAATGTTATAGTTTGAGTTTTTACAGAGAATATTGGAAAAAAATCTGATTAGATTTAATGGGAAATTTAATTAAAATCTTATTTACGACAGCCACAAGAACTATTAGGGATACGTAGGTCGACTTTTTGACTAATCAATGGGTAGAATGATGTGCAAAACGGAATCAACCAAAAGAATGAAATTCAAAGTAAAATAAAACTAAAATAAACTTTGACACATATTTCTGTGTTAACGGATGTTTACACGAGGCAAATTATATTTAATCGGAATTGCAGAGCGCACATTAAAGGTAATAACAATTTTTTCCCATGGAATTGAAAGATAGATTCAGTTGAATAGTATTTTTGAAAGAAAATCCAGACTTATCATTCATCACAATCAATATTCGAAATAAGGAAATATATTAAATAAATTAAAACCTGTTTAATCTAATTTTAAATAATTCTGACAGAAACCAAATATGGTTTTCCAAAAAGTTTCCACACCAACGCCGTTAGTGTTTTGCTAAACAGAATTTATGCTTAATTCAGATGGCACGTAATTCGCTCTATATTCCTTGTTCGACCATTAATTAAGAAATATCTACTTAATTCCCCACACAAAATTTGCTGAGCGAACAAAGATTTTCGTTCTTTGTTCCATTCAAATCACTCTCAGAACCAAGATGAAATGTGTACAATCCCTAACAAATGACAGCATTTATCGAAAAAAATAAATTATGACATTTCAAAAAAGAAACATTTAATGAAATTTTAAAAATTTTTGGGAAGACTGAAAATTATGAATGAAAACTACAATGTTGAATGGCGTATGTACATTCAAACGAAAGTAAATTCTGTTTTCTCTTTCATCCGAGGTGCGCATTTTGTCAACGAGTTGAAATTTCCACAGAAAACTGCAAACAAACGAGACAATATTTTCAAAATGTTTGTGTCGGCAGAAAAAATGTTTGACAAGTTTCTCGTCAGCATAATTTAAAAATAAAAATATACAAAAATATGTTCAAAATGCCAACATTTACACAAAAAGTTGAAAACATGAATGAACATTTTAAAATTAATTATATAATGAAACTTTGAGAGAACAACAATAATTTATTTTATTCATATTAGCATGGTAGAATCAAGAAGGTAAAGTCATGCAATCATATGTTTACAATTTTTTCAAAATTATTCATTTGACAACATCTCATTGTCAAAATTTATATGCATAAGTCATGGCAGAAGAATACAGGTAGATGCATCAATGCTTGGGAGCATTGATATGTCAATAAAATTTAAATGTTTTTTCAAATATAAGTGGATTTTTATATGTTTTATTATACTACGTCATACGGAGGCTATTATAATTCGCGTTTTTCAACAATTTTTACAAATTTAAATAATTTTTCATTCAACATTTTCAATTCCAAGATTGGTTTGACAGTTCATTGTCCCAGCAGCTGTGTCGACGCGTCTACCTATATTCTTCTACCATGGCATAAGTCCATTCTATACGCACAAAATCAGAGATGGAAACTGTTTTGATGCATTGAAATTTGACAAAGTAAATTACAAAAATCCAGAGCTGGGAATGCTAATTTGAAATGACTTTACCTTCTTAATTTTACCATGCATATTAGTGAGAATTTCATTTATTTTCGTATGAATTCCCATTAAAATCAAGAAACAAAATTTTTGAAAAAAAAAATGAATTATTTTACTATGAATTACGAATCGTGTCGTATGAACGGGTTAATTCGTGTACCTAATTCTGAGAGCGAACAACGTGATTGAAAGTGCAATGAGAACATAGCATTAGGAAATTTGATAATGTTTTTAATCAAAATTGGTGCAATCACGGCAATGAGTTCAGTAAACTTTACTTTAAAAGATAAAGGAAAGATGGTCTGGCCTTTTGCTTATCAGACAGTTCATATTTAAATGAAACTTGTAACAGAAAATGATTTTTACTATTTTCTTATACATATGTGTTTTCCACAAATTAAAATAATTCTTTATTCATAATCATGTGCTCTGACAGAATAGTATTCATATGTAGCTATATACTACCTCTTGTTATTATACCATGATTACAATACAGATTAAAACAAAACGGTTTTTAGTGATATGAACGCCGTACACACATAAAAAGCAGTAGATATCAACTGTCGATTCCATTGCATATATTACAAATGAAGTCCACTGGTTTATTTTGAGCTTCGATGTCATTTGACATATACGCAATGAACTTGACAAATAAAATCCACCCGGTTTAGTAAGCTTAAATTTACATTTATGAAATATTTTACTTTATTTAGCCGTTTAGTTTTAGTTTTCCTGCTACAAAAATAACAACCAAAAAAACTTTTGCTTATGATAATATAGGAGATTCTTTATTTTCTTTGCAGAAGGTCACTAATGTTAATAAACATAAATTTTCAAACATCAATAGGCTCTATATTAGGTTTCTTCATAAATAATTTTAGCTTTTTTCGCATTTTCTCCTGGTTGTGTATGTATACGCAAACAAACATCAGCCTTCTAAAAGTTTATTTTAAAAGTCCATTTAGACAACACCCTTACACTACGATTAAGGACATTATCTCGATTTATTTGCTTAAAATTAAATCAACTTTAAACTTTTCATTTATTTTAAATCCAATGTTAAATTGAACCATTTTGAAAAACAACACAGATTTCTGCATCTAACAATACAACCATGTTACAATAAGGAGGTAGAACAGCCTTGTAAAACTACAGAAATACAGCCCTGAGGCTGTCGATTCATTCAATATTAAGTACATCAAGTTGTTTTCATTTTTTCCCTTATTTTTAAAATGTGTTAAATAGCGCGAAAAATAAATGAAATAGCTGTTTTTTTCTCACAAATATAATTCAAACCATGGTAGAAAAATACAGGTAGATGCATCAACGCTTGGGAGCATTGATATGTCAAATTTTTTTTAATTTATTTTCAAATATAAGTAGCTTTTTATATGTTTTCTTATACGACGTCATTCGGAGGTTATTATAAAATGCCTTTTTCAACAATTTTTACAAATTTAAAAAAATTTTCATTCAACATTTTCAATTCCAAAATTGGTTTGACATTTCATTGTCTCAGCAGCTGCGTCGATACGTCTACCTATATTCTTCTACGATGATCCAAACCATTCAATCTTTCAATTTCTTGGCTAAACTGGTTAATAGCTCTAATAGTGAGCCGCAATGTAGGTGTCTTCCAATCATTGGATTTGAAAATATTTTGTTTACATTTCTCAAAACAATAAATACATACACAAATGTTGGCAGAAGTCGGACACGCTTAGAAAAAAATTGTAATCAGCTGGTAGCTCTACCTTACCTTTTTATTGTACCATGAATACAACCATTGTAGTCTGTGCCAAAAATGACAACTGTAGTTGTGTTCCAAAACCGACAAATTAGTACTAATTAGTGCTAAATCTGCTACAACGCGTCCCCGTACTCCAAAAACTAGCAAAACTTGCAGCTCTCTCGAGAGAAAAATGGCACTGAGTGATGCACATTTCTGCTTGTTTTAGCTACATGAATTTGACCGAGCAGAAATGTGCAAATTGTAAATTTGACATTTAATTGGCAGGGATAACAAGGTTGAAAAATGTATTGATTTCAAAGTTCGCGGGTGACAACAAATGTAAAGAAAAAAGATAAACTTAAAAACTGAAGAAAAACTAATATTTGTCGTGCAAAAAACAAAAAGAGAAAATATGGAGGAGTGAAGAGAACTGGCTAAATGAGGAATCAGACGAAGAAAACGTATTGAAAACAGTGCAAAATTAGTGAGCACATCTAAATGAGAATGGCATTTTGTACTGTTCTCTCTTCTGCTAGTTTTACTACTAAAAAAGTATTGGAACACAACTTGTGTTTACGTATCGTTTACTTACATTAAAAAATAACTGTAAACAGTAAGACATGGTGGAATTAAGAAGGCAAATATATGCAATCACATGTTTATAATTTTTTTTCCAAAGTTATTCATTTGAAAACATCTGATTGTCAAAATGTTTATTTACATATCCATTATATACACAAATCAGAAATGGCAACACTTTTCTATCCAGAGAAATTTGACAGGGTCAATTACACAAAATACAGAGATGCTTGTGCTCATTTGAAATGACTTTACCTTCTTAATTTTACCATGGTCTGGCATATCAACCAAACCTTTGGCGTAGTATTGTAATCCCACCACCGATAACCTGAATCTCATTTCAACTACCCTTCTAAATGGCTTAAATTTAACTAACCTGTCAAACACCTGGTAAATATCAATGGATAAAGATATTAAGTAATCAGCTTCGCCCGATTTTTCTCCTCTCCTTATTGGTTATAATAACTTAAGATTACATTCAATTTATCTTGCCCAACTTTGCCTCATCGAAATAATGCTTTCAGCACATTTGGAGTTGATCCAACCATGTCCTTCATCCGTCTGCCTGTGTGACTGGCGCCCACTATTATTGTTGAGGGAAGCATCCGATTTAGTCCAAACTACACACCTTAACCAGCCCACAAAATTTAACTTCCAAAGAAAACACAATTTCATATTCCCAAATTCAGAATTTATGTTTTTATTTGAATTTGAAATGTAAGTTTGAAACGTAACTGATAAAAGTTTATATATTATATATTAAAATGTACGTCAAAAGAATTTTGACAATGGAAGGTTGTCAAATGTATAATTTTAAAAAAATTGCAAACCTATGCATTCATGGCTTTAGCTTTAGAAAATCAGTTATCGAATTTAAAACTTTAACATTCCTGCATTTCTAGAACAGAGCGTATATTAACAACTACCGAGTAAATTTTAACAAGTAAAAAAGCAGTAAATTCGGCCGGCCCGAACTTTAAATACCCTCCACAATTTGAAACGAATTAGAAAATTTTCGAAAACAAATAAAATCCATTAAAAATCTATTTAAAATCTTTAAAATACCTTATATAGGAAGGTGCCGATATATGGGGGGATATGCATATTGTGGACCGTTTTATGGGTGCTATATGATATCCTTATATAGAGAATTCTCTGTCAGGGGGTAAAGTGCTCACAAAGA